TTGTTTAATAATCAGTTAAAAGAAATTAGTCACAAAATTTTCTTTTCTTTTTCCGAATTGATTGAAAAAATGTGAAGAAAACTTAACAATTCTTTAGACTTTTTCAAAGTTTTTATTCTTACTTTCGAGGAAATTGAATGAATATTTGTGTTCTTTTAACTAGCTCTTTTGACCGAACTTTTTTTCTATCAGCCAAAAATTTTTGTTATCTTGCCCTACAATTGATTTTTATTTTCAATTGTGATTTTTTTTGTAAAGTTATTGGACAATTAACGGATACACTTTGCGCTATTAACTCGTAAACGGTGACTGAATATGTCTTAGAAATTGTTCCAAATGGAATGAAGCAGGCTATTTGTCATAGTTCCTACATTACTAGGAGCAAAATTTTTTTACTTTTTTTATTTGACCTGTGGGGTGATAAATAAAGTCTATTACATTTAGATTTTTTTTGAAAAATTCAACAATAGTATCTGTAAGACTTAATGTGTCTTAGAAATTGTTCTAAATTGATTGAAGCAGTCTGTTTGTCATAATTCATACGCTACTAGGAGCAAAACATATCTTTTTGTTTTATTATTTGACGTGTGGTGTATGATAAAAAAAAGCCTAATAAATTTAGATTTTTTTTTGAAAAATTCAACAAATTTTTTAGGCAAATACTATTCCATAGCCCTGAAAAAATGTCAGAAAGCTCAAGACGTTGCCCTCATACGAGCAGGCTTATTGTTTTTCATAATTTTTTTTCTCATAACGACGATTGTGGTTGAAACATTTTGGAGTCTTAAGCACAAATCATTATTTTTTTATCTTGAGAAAAAGTTTATGCGGTCGAATTTAACCGGCTAATAAAACCAATCAAAATAAAGCTATTACTTCATGCAATTCAATTGAAATTTGAGCAGATCAAAAAAAATAGACGAAAATATCAAATTGTTACGCTTCGTCTAGTCACTTGAGAAATTTTGCATAGAAGGAAAACAATTTTTAAAACAGCTTCAGTTGAAAGAAAGTTCTATTTTTTTTTGTTATTTTAATTGAAATGTTGGACCATGTTGTTTAAATTTGAGTGTCTGATTAGCCAATTAGATTCAGCATTATTTTTTTGAGTTTAAGAATGTAGAATGAATGTGTTGAAGAATGTGGTCCAGACGTAGAAACACTGATTTTGGCCGCTTTATTTTGTGTTAATTGGCTTGATCTTATTTGCGCTGCAACAGATGTTTCCTGATCAACCTTTTTTGAACAAAGTTTAGGTTCTTTAAATTTAGGTTTTTTTTCTTCAAAAAGTGTGTTTCAAGTTTATCGAGTGTTGGCAACAACGTTAGAGCGAATATGTGAAAATAAGAAGTTTTCATTTGAGTTCCAATAGTTGGAGACAACAGTTTCTTTGCGAAGTTTTAGCTAGCAGAAACGTCTCCAGTGGTTAATATATTGGGTTATAACCAATTATAAGGCCAGAAGATGGATATCGAGAAAAAAATCAATTATAACGACAACTTTATCAATTTTGGGGTCTGAATTTTACATCCATAGTCAATTATTGTGGATTATGGAATTGCGGAAGTCATCCTTTTTGATCATTTACTATCCATTTAATTTAGATTTAGGCTTTAACTTCACCAAATTTTTACAGAAAATTGTTATAAACGTTTTTCAAAAACGTTTAAACTAACTAACATACACCAATATTATTGATCGGTAGCTCAAATTGTTCCGGCCACTCAATGAAAAACAGGGTTAGCCGGTTACTGTGCAAGTAGCACAGATTGTTCCGACCACAGTCTGTTGAAAACTACGGCTTAGAATTTTTTTTCCAAATTTTTTCCAAATTTAGTTTTTTCTGCTAGGTGTGATAAAAACATCTGACGTAAAAAAAATAATTTAGGCATATTAGACAGTCCAAGTAGCATAGGCAAACGGACAAAACTTTTGTGGAAAATTAACTAAAAAACCAAAAAAAGTTAAAAAAGTAACTTTTTTTTCATAATTTTTCGCAGAAAATTTTTGTGAAGTTTTTGGTTTCCAAAATGAAGCTAAAAAACTTCAAAAACTAGTTTACTTGCTAAAAATTAAGTTTTAAGGTATTAAATTGGGCATAATTTAGCTGTTGTAAGTCTGCTCGCTTGCTTTATTCGCTCAAATCAACACAAAAAAAAATTAAAAATTTCAAACCGATTTTTCTCAACACTATAAAAAAAATTTGGCAACTTTCAACCCAGTCAGAGGATTATTTGTGGTACCTGATTTTGCGTGGAAAACAAAAAAACACACCTGGATACAAAGTTCCTCCCTATTTTCAAAGGTCGGAACAATGACAATTTTTGAAAAATTGATTTACATCGTATGGTTCATTAAAATTTACACCACTGAGAATTTACTTCTTAAAATTAAACAAGACTGCTCGTATCAGTGAATCCCTGAATGTTCCGACTGCCTTTTAAAACTTTATGGAGCAGTAAAAACCTTAGAAATTTCAATTTTTAGAAAAAAAATTTTCATTTTTTTTTCATTTATTTTTTTAAAATAAAAATCATCCCCCCACAAGCCATATAAAGTACAAAAGGATAGATTTTGCTCCTTGTAACAAAACAGTTATGGCAAATAAGCTTCTTTCAACCAATTTGGAACGATTTTAAGACGGATTAACTCTCCGCTTACGCGTTAATATCGTGAAATATATCGCGCGTTAATTATCCCAAATTGGCCAAAATGGCAATCTTTAAACCCCCATAGCTTTATGAAAAATGATCACAGGTGAAAATTTGAGCTCAGGAGAACAATTATTTTTGAATGATACAAAAAAATTCCGTCAAAAATGGCTAGTTAAAAAGTCGAAATTTGTCTGAAGAAAAAAAAACCCACCCCGAGCACAAATATTCCGTTACTTTCGTATCGAAAGTCGGAACAAAAACAAAAAACCACACTCAAAATTTTACTGAATTGAAGACAGAGTTCCGTGAACCGTGGCTGTGGGGATAAAAATGTTTGTTCGCGCTCCAGTTTTACAGAAAGCTGAAAAAGTAGAGTATGTTTTCCAAAAAGCTATTGAATCGATTCGATTATATTGAAAACAAAATTGGATTTTAATCGACAATAATGGATTTTTGTTTTTTGAAAATAATTGAATATAAGGGATCAAAAATCTATTGCATTATCTAATTTTGCCATGATAATCGATTATGTAGACAACATTTTAGTCAACAAAAACGCATTATAATCTATTTTTAACCATGAAACTTCGGTGCGGGTAATCGAGCAGTCATCGATACCACACCTTGTTTTCTAAGAATTTTATTGGAGGCAACTAAACGCCATAGTTCTTATCCACTCCGCTAGAATGTGGGTCGAAAGAGAAGGTAGCTAAATCTTGTCATGATCTATTTATTTTGCAAATGCTATTTTATGCGCATTTACATGAAAATAAGGTTTTATGAGGATTTTATGTTCAATATTCAAAATTAAAGCACAGCAGATTCTACGTTAAAGTCATTTAGAGTGGGTTGCTTAAGCAAAAATTGTGCAGAAGATACTAAGTTTTATAAAGACTTTATTACTTAAGTTGTGCTCGTAGCAGAGGGAAGCAAGATCAGTTTTATTCAATTTAGCTATTAATTTTTATAATTCGAAAAAACTGAGGCTTTTCTTAGAAAATTAAGCAACTTCTCTGTTTTAATACTGAGAAGGAAGGATAGCTTTGACGTTTATTTTTGTGCACGTGTGTAAAACTTTAGCAAATGGAAAAACTATGAAGCATGTATTTCCGTTTTTGACTGTATTGCTTCTTCTTCAAACACTGCCGACTACAGGAAAGTTTCATATCTGATTTTTATTAAACTAGTCATCAAAAGCTGCCGTAAATCTGGTCACAACAATTTTTGGCTTTCTCAACTGCCCTTCAACATCGAGTATATACCCCGCAGCAATGGATCTAAATCGATATTATTTTCATTTCAGTGTCCGTCTTTCTAAGTCGAAAATAATTGGCTATGCATGATTTTAGAAATATCTTTCTTAGCAATAAAATCCATCATAATCTTATATTTTCAAAAATTTGATGAACAATTTTGGTGAAGTTTTCCAAATAAGAATGGGTCGAAATAAAAATAGCGCTTTCAGGCCGAAACTATCGTATAATATCATAATTATATAAACACATTTTATGCAAGATTTGTTCTTTTGATTGTTACTCACCGGTTGTCACCCGCCCTTCTAACGACCTTTAGCCGTGGTGAAACCCAACCTTTACTACCGTTTAAAATTTAAAGAAATTTTAACTTAACTTCTCAGGTTCGAGTGGGGCTCTTTTCCTTTTTCCCCCCACCTCATACGAGCTTCAATATATTAGTGTAACGAGTGGTTTTACGAGGTTGAGTATGAAGACCAAATATGATATACGAGGGGGGAGGGAAAAAGAGCCTCGAGTGCTAGTCAATATGATATTTTGTTTTTCAAAAAACTCTTCTTTTGTTTGAAAAACAGTTTGGAATGACTCCTTCCTCTTCAACTGTTTCCCCCACTTTATTACTATTTAGGCTTATAATACTCTATATCAAAATAAAAGGTGTTTTAAGTTCGTAATTAACTGACATGTAAAATCACATGTGAACAAACATATGAAACATTGAAAAATACTGTTTAAAATGACAAAAAAGCTCCCTCCTCGCTCAAAAAATTTGCATTTACGCTTTTAGCACTATAAAAAAGGGATATGCGCCGCGCAAAAAGTAGTCCCGAACATTGATCGATGTGACATTTTCAAAACTTTCAAAAGTTTCCGGAAAATAATCACAGGTCAAACATTTTTAGATTTTTTTAGTTCTTATCTCAGTATCTCAAAGATTTGTTGCTAGGTTCTCGTATGCTTAACCCTTGAATTGTTTCTTTAAGGGGGGAGAAATTCGTTAATAGGTACCCTAGGGGGGAATGTTTAAAGAGATTCAATATTTCGTTTCCCTCTTTCAGTATTTGGGACCCAAGGCTGGTATGAAACTGTCATT